GCACCGATAATGGTCGGGATCAGGAGGCCGATGATGCTCAGCCAGCGAGGCAGGTTGTAGTAGATGACGTATGTGCCGGCGAGGGTGGCAAAGATGGAGATGGCGCCGGCGGGCATGTTGAGGAGCGCCGACTTCTTGGGCGTCAGGAAGATGGAGTTGATGATGGTGGCGGAGAAGGTAGTGATGATGCCGGAGGGGATGACAATGAGGATGGTGTTGAGGAACAGCAGCCACACCTGGAGATCCTTGAGGGCGTCCAGGATGCCAGACGCGCGGAAGACCTTCCTGCCGGCGCCGGCCTGGTCTCGGGCCAAGGCTTCCTCGATGAGCGCCTTTTCGTCCTCGGTCAGGAACGTCGCCTCGCGGACGCCGCTGGGCATGACGAGGAGGACGGCCAATGCAACGAAGAGGTTGAAGACGCCAACGGAGACAAACATGATGCGCCAGCTCTGAAAGGACGAAGTGGTCGAGCCGTGCTGTGCCGCCCAGGAGATGAGCCCGCCCAGGACCTGCCCGGCGCCCAGGCCGCAGTACCAGACGCCCGTGCGCAGGGTCGCCTGCTTCTTGTTGTACCACTGCGACGTGATCATGATGAGCGCAGGCGTGATGACGGCCTCGAACATGCCCAGCAGCGTGCGCACGGCGGCGGCACCCGCAAAGTCCTGCGTCGCGGCCGTGCAGCAGACGATGACGCCCCAGAGCAGGACGTTGAAGCCGAGGACTTTGGGCACGGGGAACTTTTGGATCAGGCAGCCCTGGGGGAACTCGGCGACGGCGTAGCCGATGAAGAAGGCCGTGGCCATCCAGGAGAAGTCGTTGCCGGCGAAGCGCAGGTCCTTTGCGATGCCCATGATGTTGGCGTAGTTGACGATGACCTTGTCGAGGAACTGCAGGAAGTAGCAGAAGAACATGAGCGGGACGAGCCGCATGTCAATCTTTCGGTAGATGCGCCTGAGCTGCTCCGTCTTGGCTGCGGGATCGTCGAGGGACGAGCCGTGGCTCGAGGTCACTGGCGACGCGACCTTTTCGTCCATCCTGGATGAGTCGGACATGTGGAACGGGGTGAGTGTGAAGCGAGAGTATGGATTAGGAGGTC